ATGGGGACACCGGGGGACAGGCACACTGCAGGGCTGCAGTGGGGACACTGTAGAGATGGGGATACCATGGGGATGGGGACACTGTGGGGCTGCCACAGTGGTGGGGACATCACAGGGACAGAGACACCGCAGGGACAGGGACACTGCAGGACTGCCACGAGGACGCCGCGGGGAYGGGGACACCGCGGGGACAGGGACACGGCGGAGGACACCACGGGGCTGCCATGGGGACAGGGACACCGCAGGGCTGCCAGGGGGACACCGTGGGGACAGGGACACCCCAGGGCTGCCCCGCGCCCCCTCACCTGGACTCGGGGCTCTGCAGGTTCTCCACCGAGAGTACGGAGCACGGGAACACCTTGCGCTTGTGCACGTGGGACAGGCCTGGGCGGCCAGGGGACACGTGGTGACCAGGGTGGGGATGGGGGGGCCAGGACATGGGGGGGGCCGGGACAGGGATCCCCACGCGGTGGCACTTGGGCGGGGGCTGCGGCCCCTGGGCGAGGGCTGTGGGGCGGGATGGGGGTCCTGGGTCGGTGGCAGTTGGGCCAGTGCAGGAGTCCTGTGGGGGTGGCCGTGTGGCCGGGGGGGACCCAGCGTGGTGGCAGCGGGACCAGCACGGGGGGCCCGGGGATGGTGACGGTGGGGCCAGGACAGGGGACCCCGTGATGGTGATGGTGGGGCCAGGACAGGGGTCCCAGGGATGGTGATGGTGGGGCCAGGACAGGGGTCCCCATGATGGTGACAGTGGGGCCAGGACAGGGGTCCCCGTGATGGTGATGGTGGGGCCAGGACAGGGGTCCCGGGGATGGTGACGGTGGGGCCAGGACAGGGGTCCCGGGGATGGTGACGGTGGGGCCAGGACAGGGGACCCCAGGACGGTGTCAGGGGGGCAGGGTGGGGGTCTCCAGGGAGGGGGCAGCGGGCAGGGACCAGGACCCCCGCGCTGGTGGCTGGGAGCCTGGGGGAGGTGACAGGGGGCTGGGACAGGGATCCCCGGGGGGTGGAGCTGAATTTGGAGTGGGGTCCCTGGGGAGGGGACAGGGGGGCCGGGAGGAGGGTCCTGGGGAGCGGGCAGCAGAGCAGGGATGTGGTTCCCGGGAGGGGGCCGCGGGGCAGGGCGGGGGTCCCGGGCTGGTGGCACGGAGGCCGGGATGGGACCAGGGCCGGGAGGGTCCCCAGGGAGGCGGGTGGTGGTCCCGGGCGGGCCCGTGCGGGGCGGTACCGGCCAGGGTGTCGGTGGGCTCGGGCTGCAGCACCAGCCGGTGCTTCTGGCGCTTCCAGCCCTGCGGGGCGCTGAAGATCTCCTCGGCCGCCGCCTGCGCGTCGTCCCCCACGCAGAAGGTGTCGCAGGCGGCCTGGGGGCGCGGGGGGTCAGCAGGGGGGCCAGGCCGCTGCCGCTGCCGCTGCCGCTGCCGCTGCCGCTGCCGGCTCACCTGGAAGACCAGCTTGGCCCAGGTGCGGAAGGAGTCCTCCTGCGCGCACAGCTCGTCGCCCTCGCCCATGGGCAGGATGCGCTCGCCGCCCAGCTCCTCGAGCCGCGTGTCCACGGCGTGCGCGAAGGCGCAGAAGTGCGGGTAGGCCCGCGAGCCCAGCCCGAACACCGAGAACCTGCCGGGCCGCCGCGCGCTCGCCAGTGCCCCAGCGCGGCCGCCGCGCAGGGGCACGCGGAGGGGTTGGGGTGCCCTAGGGCTG